TCCCTCCCTTCCCTTCTCCTCACCCTCCCCTTCCTCCTCCCTTCTCTCGTTTCTTGCTCTCTCTCTCTCGCTCCCCTCCCTCAGTTTCTCCTTTGAGAAACTGCAATGATTTCATCCTGTTCATCAGCACAGTTAATGTCTCAAGTCACGAAAAGTGCGTGCAGGCCGGTGTGTATAATGCCCTCTCTAATGTTAGAATGTGCAATTGCAGATATAAGGAGAAATATTGTTTCCTTATTCGCTGTCTCTAAGATTCTGTGTCTTAGTCCTAGTGTCTCCCTTCCTCGCCTTTCTCACTCATTAATCTTTGCTCTCTCCCTCATTCCAGTCTCTTTTCTTTTTCTGTATTTCCCGTCTTTTCTTTTTTCTCCCTCACTCTCTTTTTCTTTTTTTTTTCTTTTTTTTTCTTTCCACTTGTTTTCGGGTCTCTGTCCTTCCCCCTTCCCCTCATCTTTCCATTCTTCAACTTGCCCTTCGTTTTTACCTTTTCCCCCTCCCCCCCCCCCCCTTCAATCCTTCCTCAAAAACCTCCCCCCACCTTTTTTACCCCCCCCCCAATTTTTTTTTTCCCTTTCTCCCTCTCCGTTTTTTTCCTTTACGTCCCCCAACCCCCCCCCCCAAAAAAAAAACCCTTTTTTTTTTTTGTCCCCCCCCCCCTTTATTTTTTTTTTTTTTCCCCCCCCCTTTTTTTCCCCCTTTTTTTCCTTTTTTTTTTCCCCCTTTTTCTTTTTTTNCCCCTTCCTCCGCCTCCCTTCCTGCCCCCTCCCCCTTCCGCCTCCCTTCCTGCCCTCCCCCTTCCGCCTCCTTCCTGCCCCCTTCCCCCTCCCCTGTCGCAAATGAAGAAATGTGCCTTATGGAAGGGCTCTCAAAGCCTGCGTTCTAACGATAAGCAACGGCTTTGGCTTCGACTTAAAGGAGGCCCTGGTTGCGCCTTTGGCTTTCTCAGGGCAAAGGGGGGGAGGGGGGTCTGGAGGGCATAGCCATTGTGTGTGTTGTTTTCTCTCTTCCTACCCCCCCCCTTTCTCTCTCTGCATCTCTGTTCTCTCTCTCTCTCTCTCTCCTCTCTCTTCTCTCTCTCTCTCTTCCTCGCTCCCCTCCCTCCCTCTCCCTCCCTCCTCCCTCTCCTCCTCTCCCTCTCCCTCCTCTCCCTCTCCCTCCTCTCTCCCTCCCTCTCCTACTACTTACCTACCTAATATACTACGTACCTAAGGGGATGCGCCTGGCAGGGAGCATTTAGGGGCGCGCGTCCCGAAGGAGAGGTTTAAGGGAGACGCATCTAACAGCAGATGGTTAAGGAAACGTTTAAGGGAAGCCTTAGGGAGACGCGTCCAGGCAGGAAACGTTTAAGGGAGACGCGTGGCAGGAAACGTTTAAGGAGACGCGTGACGAAAGTGTTTAAGGAGACGCGTCTGGCAGGAAACGTTTTAAGGGAGACGCGTCGTTTAAGGAGAAGCGTCTGGCAGGAAACAGGCAGGAACGTTTAAGGGAGACGAAGCAGGAAACGTTTAAGGGAGCTGACAGGAAACGTTTTAAGGGAGACGAAAACAGCTTAAGAAGGCAGGAACGTTTAAGGGAGACCGTCAGGCAGGAAACGTTTTTAAGGGAGACGCGTCTGGCAGGAAACGTTTAAGGGAGACTTGGCAGGAAGTTTAAGGGAGACGCTCCTGGCAGGGAAACGTTTAAGGGAGACTCGCCTGGCAGGAAACTTAATGAGACGCGTCTGGCAGTAAACGTTTAAAGGGAAACACTAGTTGAGACAGGAAAACGTTTAAGGGAGAGCGGTCTGGCAGGAAACGTTTAAGGGAGACGCGTCTGGCAGGAAACGTTTAAGGGAGACGCGTCTGGCAGGAAACGTTTAAGGGAGACCGTCTGGCAGGAAAACGTTTAAGGGAGACCGCGTCTGGCAGGAAACGTTTAAGGGAGACGGCGTCTGGCAGGAAGACGTTTTAAGGAGACGCGTCTGGCAGGAAACGTTTAGGCGTCTGGGAACGTTTAAGGGACGACGCGTCTGGCAGGAAACGTTTAAGGAGACGCGTCTGGAGGAAACGTTTAAGGGAGACACAGCTGGCAGGAAACGTTTAAGGGAGACACAGCTGGCAGGAACCGTTTAAAGGAGACGCGTCAGGCAGGAAACGTTTAAGGGAGACGCGTCTGGCAGGAAACGTTTAAGGGAGACGCGTCTGGCAGGAAACGTTTAAGGGAGACACAGCTGGCAGGAACCGTTTAAAGGAGACGCGTCAGGCAGGAAACGTTTAAGGGAGACGTTGGCAGGAAACGTTTAAGGGAGACACAGCTGGGCAGGTACCGGTTTAAGGGAGACGCGTCAGGCAGGAAACGTTTAAGGGAGACGCGTCTGGCAGGAAACGTTTAAGGGAGACGCGCCTGGCAGGAAACGTTTAAGGGAGACCACTGGCAGGAACCGTTTAAAGAGACGCGTCGGCGTTTTTCTGGCAGGAAACGTTTAAGGGAGACGCGTCTGGCAGGAAACGTTTAAGGGAGA